TCAAATCTTCACCAACTATTTGAACTAATTTAGTTTCAAATTAGTTTACATTAATTTTTAACCGAAAATTAATGTAAACTAATTCCCATGTAAACTGATTTAAATTGGTTTAGATCTAAATTAGTTTGAAACTGTAATCACACCACTAATTTAATATTCTTTTGATAAAATTTTATTCAAGTTGAATACAATTAAAATTGTCGACAAGAATTTGTTTCTCAAACTTTTACGACTGTTGGACAAGTCATGAAATAGAAAAAAACAACAAAATATAATAGTATGGCATAATTGAAGAAAACTACAGTTCAAGTACCAAAGAACATTTTCAGAATAGATTCGTGTTTCTAATGAGATTTAGCACTACAGTGAAGATATTTTACATCTTATTTTTCTCCATAAAATGTACAAAGTTTAAAATAAGACTGTAGCAGAGCATACGATCGATCATTAAAAGCTTTGTTATTATCAAATTGCACACTCAGTTAGAGCAACATACATCCCAAATTCGTCTTTCCACTTTGAAAATTTGATTTTTTCACTCTGTTTTGATCAGAGAGAAAAGGGTAAATACTGTGGTAAACTATGGAAATTCATTTTACTTCAAATTTTCATTAAAAACACTAACTGCTTCTTTCATTTTAATCCCATTTTAATCCATTAACTCTTATAATAATTTTGCTATAACAAACTACGAATAATGCGATATTTTATTATTTCTCAAATCATTAATCTAAAATTTTTTTACCTCATCTTGTTACACCAATTTTTCATAATGTTTTTCGATATTTTTATCAAATTATACGACAAAGCAAAGTGTCAATCAAAATTTCAAAGTGTTTTCTACATTCGGTTTTTCTTTGCAGAGTACACATTCGTATACCTTCAGTTTTTAAAGGATCGATACATTTTGATTATACAAATATATTTTGTTATTTAATTAGAACGACACATTGTCAGTCATCCTATTGCTCAGAAGTACAATGAAAAATTGATAATAAATTGCATTTTGTACTACAGGCTTCCTCATGTTCTATAGGACCTACATATATATAAGGACTCAATAAGAGGTATGTGCTCATTTTTGCAGAAATAAAATTAATATGTTACAAATTTCTTTTAGAAAAATTAAACTTTTCCAGATATTTCGTAAACGGTACAGTGGAAAGAAAAAGCTAATATTAGTGCAAACAATCTATCCATGCTAACTGAACACTATTCGAACATCTAACTGAATGCTATTTTAGAAAGATGAGGTAAAAAAGTATAATAAAATAACAAATGAATAAATATCATTTAGAAAAAAAGCGTTTTCATCCCCAGCAGCTGATGGTAGATGAGAATTCGATAGGCTCTTAATTCAACCTATTGTATAGCGGAATTCACGCATAGATGCCTTATTATGTTGATAGGGCAGTGAAACTGTCAAATAGTACAGCAGGTATAATGTACCTAATTTGTGGTGTCGTGTGGACAAAACATCGTTGCATCGATGATGCCGCAAAAGAGTCAGAAAGAGAGTGAGTCAGACAAATAACAAATAAACAATCTTTTTATAACTGAATTAAGCTGGCTTATGGTGGTCCTGTTAATCTCTTTCTCTAGACTTTTGAGACAATATTTATCAGCTATTTTTTGAATGGGTTTATGTAAATGTCCAAATCGTAAAGTAACAAATCAATTTTGTGTTCAACATCATGTGAATGTGTGTGAACACTGTTTACTTAGTCAACATTCTCAGTGTATTGTTCGATCGTATGTTCAATGGTTACAAGATAATGATTACAATCCAAATTGTTTATTGTGTAATACTTCATTAACAGATAATGGTGAAACTATACGATTAATATGTTATGATCTATTTCACTGGTCATGTTTAAATTACTACTATCAAAATTTACCATTGAACACGGCGCCAGACGGTTATCAATGTATGTTTTTAAATTGTCAAGATTCATATTTCATAACACGTACTTGTACTGATACTATATTTCACGATTTATTTTCATATTTTAGGTCCACAATGTAAACAATGTATTTTTCCACAACTTAACTTAGTCTCTCCTATTGCAGATCAACTGAGACAAAAATTATCAACAGTAACATGGGCGAGGTAATTATATGAATTGTTTTTTATTAGTGAATTCGTACACTATCACACGGCTATATCCGTGAAGATTTTCATGTCATGTAAAAAAGAAATCTAATATTTGTTCCTACAAAATTTTTCTCTAGTGGAAATGGTTTTCGACTGAAATGTGCGTTACTCCATTACAATCGTGTAGTCGGAATTTCACTAAGGATGACCACCTAAAAAAATTCATCTCCATTAGTCTGAGTTTTTCACTCGAGAATTGGACAAAGTATATAGTTTTTTCTTGCACTTCATCTTTACTCGACGACTTTCACATTTGACTGTTCTAAATTACTAAAATGGATGATATGAAGCAGCTTTTTTAGCAAAAAATTCACCTATCTTGAAATTTCATTAGTTGTGTAGAGTAGGTGAATACAAAGAAAAACTACATCGATTTCTGTTTTCCATTCTATTAAGCCTCTTCTATGGAAGAAAAGAAGATTTTAAAATTGCCTTGTCTTTGCTATGAAAGGCGCATACACCAACAGAGATCATTTTCTCTTGTTTTTTCGAATAATACCATTTAATTTCTGAGTTTAAAAACCGCGAGAGAGCCTTTATTATCTATTGCATACGAAATAATTTGAAAACTTTGACTCCTAACTGTCTTTAAATTTTGTTTCTGGTATATCTATTTGTTTGCGTTCGTATCCATAAAAATTGTTTTTTTCAGACAGTTCTCACTTGCTATAAACATATTTGGAATATCCGATTGAAACTAGATCGATTAGAGTACTTTAATAGTATTCCATACCGAATGACGTTATAGTACTCTTTTCACCATATGAAAGGATGTTCAAGAGTAGAAAAACTGACAAACGATGCAGATCTGTTTTGCATCTTGTACAGTTTTTTATCCTCTATAAATTTCACTATTCAAATTTTTATAGTGGTTTTAGTACTGTACTGTATCATTCGTAAAAACATAGGCTCGCCTGAACGGTTAAAACCTGATAGAACAGTTTGAAAAATGCAAATTATAAGTGCAACGGCTATTTTTTTCCGTTATAGAACGAAAATAGTTTTAGCACCTTGAAAAATTCTATGTGGTGGTTTGTAATAGTCAATTGTCTTTTTCTTTATTGATTCGATAACAAAATTTCGTAGAAAAGTAAAATACTCAAAAACGAACATGAAAAATTGCGTATTATTAGTGCATTCAATCTCTGTCTGAAGATAACTGAAGATATTAATCGACGATTTTGTATATTTTCGTGCTCCAGAAATTGTGACACATCTGTAACGATGAGCATATCCTAGACAACATGAAACAATTGTTACATGCACGTATCTTTTAGCAGTTTTCTTCTCAATTTTACATTGACACAAGCCTTTCAAAATGTTGTGTACTGGTATTAACGATTCGATCTCTAATTGTTTTCGTGTGCAATCCAGACTCTCTTGCAGTTTTTAAACCCAGAAATGAAATGATATTATTCGAAAAAACAAGAGAAAATGATCTCTGTCGGTGTATGCGCCTTTCATAGCAAAGACAAGGCAATTTTAATCTAATTGTCTTTATTTTAACAAAGTTCATTAACAACATTTAGTTCTTTTGTGTGTTATTGATGAATATGAATAAGAGCAAAATTATCATCAGTATAGTTTCGTAAAACAGAAACACGAAAACATTTCAATCTTCGGAAAACTTAGAATATATACAGTGGAATGGAACCTGAACGAGTGAACACGTTCCCTATTTGTCCACGCGTTCGATACGCCTCTATTCTACTGTAGTTCTCGAGTAAAGATGCTCATTCTCAAATTTGCAAAGCTAAATGAAATTTTTCTCCGTTTTTAGAGCTGGTCTTAGCTTACCATTAATTGATGATCATCGTTCACAACAGCAGCCCTCACAACAATTAACTGAAACGGAGAAAAATGGTTATGTCATTGTTACTCAACAACAACAGCAAAGTCAACCAACTCTTTCGATATCGGTACCATCTGAACAACATGGTTTATCTCATCATACAAAATCAAAAATATATAACAGTGACACAGAAATAATGTCATCGTCGACGTTAAATTTTTCACAAGATATTGATGAGGATAAATATAAGAGACGTAGTATATTTTCATGGTTTGCACGGTATCTTCGTTCACGTCAAGTTACTGGAACAAAACGTAGACCAATGTCTCGATTACGTTGGACATGTTATTTATTAGCTGTTTGTCTTCTTGTTGTTGTAACCATATTTACCATTTTACATCATTTAACACGTAATTCAGATGATGATAATGATCCTCAATTCGATCCTTTGAATAATCCGATGGTCAAAGTTGGCAACAGATTTGTACAAAAATTAAAAAATAGATCATTTGATGGAACAAATAATTAATAATAACAGCAACAAAACTAGAGATATGACAACGTTTTGATTTGGAATAAGACTAGATTGAGATACAAAACATTTTTCTTACTCTTTTAATATGAGCACAGTTTAACATATATTGAGAAAGGTTATTAACGGAAGAGTTTACGTGTGCTAGAGAACGAACTGTTCTCCATATTGTTAACTATACTATGTTTTTACTACTGAAAAAATGTTTTCTCTATTTTTCTGCCTTAAAAAATGATGCTCAAAAAAATCGATTCTATAAAACTATTTGCTTAATGTAAAAGAAAGAATATGTTTTATTTTCATTTCATGTTTGTCTAGATATAAAAATGAACCCATAAATCTGTTTTATTACAATAACAAATATTTGGATATCTATTATACTTATTTTTTCGTTTCAGTTTATTTTGCTTGTCTTTTTTTTTTTTATTCCATTCTAATATATATGTACAATTATTTATTTTATTAAAACAACGATTATGACTTCATGCGATTGAATGTAGTGGTACGGTGCCAAGATGAAAACAGCATCACTGTCATCCTAACATTCATTAAGTGTACAAAATTTAAAGAAAACACTTTTTCTCATTGGAATTATTTTTTTTATCGGGAGAAAAGGATGCGTTGATGAAAATCAGTATATGTCTTTGAATTTTCTGTTTTTGTTGCAATAAATATATTTCTTTATCGTTATTCATATATTCTCAGATAAAATGCAAGACTAACCGCGGTAGGAAACAAAATTGTTCCTATCCACTATGTTTCTTATCAAATTTTAGATGATCATATTTCATTAAAATAGTAGTAAAAAATAAATTTATAAATTTCCGTTATTCATGCTGCTTTTTACAGTACATATTGTAGAATCAAATGTATAATCTAGCTATTTTCTCTTTTTTATTACTTTAAAGCTTGGTGTTCATAATTCTTTGGACTTTCTCTCATAACAGCACCGTTCTTATCTTCGAAAATTCTGTTTTAAGTGGATAATAATGACAATTAAATGAAAGCAAAGTTGGCAGAATAATATTATACTTTTTACAGCGGAGTTATATAAAATTTAATTTTCTACAACGTAACCAGATATATGAAGAAAATATGTGTCATTTAAGTGCCTATTACCTTTTATTATGAATAGAACAGAGTTTTTTTGTGTTTCAACTTGAACGAAGAAAAACTTACTGTGGAAAATTTGTTATCAGATGCTTACTATGATGAGAGAGTAATATTTTTTCAAATAATAGATATAGTAATATTAGTCAAGTCTCAATCTTTTTTATAAAAGATTTCCCATTCAATTCTCTACACAAAACATATTAAATATTTCTTTATAGTCTCGATATAAAGAAAGTCGCTATTTTGTAGTTCTTGAAAAGCTCTATCAACTGGCTATATTTAAGACTCTTCATAGGCACAAGCAGTTGGAGGAGAATTTTTTTTCTTGTTTTAGTGCGCGATTTTGCCCAAAAATCACCATTTTCTAACTGCAGTTTTGAGGCACTTACGAAAATTTATATGATTTGGTCAAAACTACACATTATGAGGCCGGATCTGGTTTATCTTAAAGTAATATAATCCTTCTGTTACATCCGAACAGAGAAAGTCGAATAGTTCCGTTTCGTTTCCTGTGCCAAGGCGAAGAAATCCAATTTTTCCTGTTTTTTTACCTTTAGTAAATCTTCGTTAGTAGCAGAAAAGAAAAGATTTAAAGCGAACTTATGATGCATAACATAAATATTTTTTGGTGGCGCTTTCAGCTTGAAAGTAATCAAGATTGAAGCTTTTCCGTATTTCCTCTATATTTTTTTATTCTTATATAAAGAAATGTTCAATATATTTTGTGTAGAAAATTGAATGGGAAATCTTTTAAAAATAAAGATTGAGAGTTGGCGATCAACCTTGATCAATATATTGACAAAACACTAAGGGGACCGTTTATTCTACCGCACCCGTTATTAATATCAACGAAGAAAAAAGTCTTTTCCACGTTAACAATGTTTTCAAAATACGAAGTGTGTAGTGTAATGATAAGTTTTCCACTTCTTCTCAACTTTTATAGATATTCCTAGAATTTACAGCAGATTCTCGTAAGTATCGTACATAAAATCCTTTCAAAGGTATTTTAAATAGCAACACAAACTTGATATTTCTAAAATCTTTTCTTCATAATACGTATAGTTTGAATGTTGGAAAAGAGAAATGAACCATTAGAAGGAAATACAAAAAGTAGCGCGGATGTCCACATGTCTTTGATGGAAGAAACATTTATATTACTGTTGAAAGAAAGATATATTTGCAGAAAACTGAAAAGTGGACTATGACAGAAAATTAGATTAAAATATTAATAGTGCATATTTGCGAATACTAAGTGATATCGTTTTGATTTCAATCAAAACAACAGGTAAAAATGTCCTATTTATCACTGATTTTTATAATTATTTACAATTGGTAACACATTCCTAGTCCAGATAAAAAAAAGAAACAATGCTCACAGAGCACATCGCATTGCACATTAAAAAACAAAGAAAAGAAAAGTAACAAAGCAAAATGTTGACTTAACAAAACAAATAGATGTACACAAATAATAGGAAAAAAAAAGGAGCACTGATATAAGTTATTATACGAAACACAAATCTATGGAGGACCCGAGAAATACATTAATAGAAATACAAATATGTTGTATTCATTTATTAGTTTTATACAAAAGAAAAACAGATCTTTATCCTTATATAGATGGTGATCGGAAGACATTTAAGAAATAGAGAAGAATCATATTTAACAAATTAAAAACTGGAGTGATTATTCAAAGTAATTAGAATCGTCATCATTTATTGGAAAATAACACTCTTTTAATGCACTTCGAATAGATGTTCGCTAAAAGATAAAAAAAGCATACAAACTGCTGTTGCTACAGGTTATAATAATCAATCAACAAACCCATATATCAAGAATATCAGTGACAGTATGTTGTGCCGGCAATTTAAATAAAAAATAGATAAAACTTTTTGCAATCGTTTCAAAAAATACATGTCCGTCTAAATTGAAAGAATTTAAATAAGTTTGAATATATTCTATGAATACATTGAAAATGGCCTCCTTCTATTGACAGATAAAAATAGCATCTCTCAAAATTTTCCGATCATTTTTCGCGGAGATACGAACATCGTCACAAATGTCTTGAACAAAGTAATCTATCTAATGTAAAAATACTCTTGATTTCAGTTGATATACATTACGACTCCATCGAAACTTCATTTGATCAAGCCGAAAATTTTACCACAAATATCTGAGAAGATACATCATGATGCATCAATTTTTTCCATCTCAAGTTGTAGAGCTTTTAAAATTATAAGCCTTAGTTTTCTATAGGACTAATTTTATTTCTTTTCAACTGAATATGGTTAACGACTAAATTTTTGGAAAATTATATTCAAAACTTTGTCACACAAGCCAGAATAATAATACATCGAATTTTATTTTTCGATGTTCTACCTCTATTATAACCGTAGATCAAGAAGACCTTTGGTTCTACATTTGTCTACAAAATGCAAAAGAAAGAAAGAAGAGTATCCAAAAAATGTATAGTGTCACGTATCCCTTTCTTAACCGATAACGATCTACAACTGTTGTAAGTGTTTAATGGAACTAGTCAAAAAATATATCATTCTCAGTTTGACGAGCTATTTATAACTTTTCTATTTGTTATGTACGAAGACTGTTTATGGGACGGATTCAAAAAGTGTAATGTGCGACTTTTAGAGATCTTTTAACATCTTTAAAAGGAATGTACTGTCCAGCGTAATATAAAATGTGACATTTTTCTAAGCCAGAATCACCCAAAGTATAGCTTTGAAAACGTCTTACTCAGCAATATTTTGTTCCGCGATTCACTAAAAATATCAAGTTCTTTTTCCGATCTTTAGACAACTTTTTTATTAACGTTAAAAACTGAACTAAAACTATCAACGCAATATGATGTAAATATTTGAATATTTGTTCACATAGTAGTGAAAAGTTATCTGAAACCAGTTGTTTATGTTTACCATAATTTGTAAGAGTTACTGGAATTGTTTTTGTTAAAGATAATATTTCGGGACATTCATTTGGATATTTCGCTGATATTTTCATCTGTAATGGTGGTATAATGGGCATATTTTGCTCAATTAAACGACAGATCAATAAATATCCATGATCAGACGAAGCTTGTGATATTTGTTTGAGATCATATTTATAAGTATCCATAGGCATTTGAGAAAATTCATTTTCAATTATTATTTCGATTGTTTCTGATTTAGTACGAATTTTTGTGGGAGTAACAGATTTTGGCGAATCCAAACATACAATTCTAAATACATATTAGAAAAACAAAATGTTACTTCAATTTTCAAATTGTAGATGGTAATCCTACACGATGATTTTAATAAAAACTTACTTATGAGGAACACCGGTAACAACATCAGCCAATGGTTCAAGAAATCGTTTGGCGATAGATGCTTTATGTTGAGAATCTTTATTTAAATAGTCTGTTATTGCTTTATAACATTGCTCAAATATACCAGTTGTTGATGATAAACGTGGTAATAACATATCGCCAAATATACGTGGATCCTAAATGAATAATATCAGTTAATTGTCAATATTGTTTTAAGATGAAAAAATACATACCATATATCGATCAAAGTGTTCTTTTAATCTCCTAGCCATTATTAAATTATCAACAACAGGATTTTTCATAAAATTGGACATTTCAAAATGAAATTGTTTCAATTTTAACACTTTTTCATATTGTCCTAAATGAAACAGTTGTATGATATAAATGCTAAACATTAGAATTGTTTCTTTTATATACCTTCTTGATTCAGTTTATTAATAATAACTACTAACTGTCGAATACGTTCAGAAAAATATCTATAATAATATTGAATTTCTTCATCAGCCATTACCAATGGACTACCATAATCTAAACAATCGTATAATCTTGAAATAAATTTAATTATATATCAATAGGCAACGAATATAACTTTCCCATGGAAGTCATACAGGATTTTTATGCAAGTTTTTTACTCGTACGTTGAATTTTTTCATTACTATCTTCTACTGTACTCACTTATCATATTCGTGGGAGATGCATTTGGTCGAAATTGTGGTGAACTTGGTATACCAGTCATATAACGTGACATTGGACTTCCTCCCATCATCATTTGTGGCGAACCATTTTGCGTCATCATCATTGATGGATCAGAACCTCTGTATGCAAAACAAGAGACATAGTAAATTAATCGAAATACATATTCTTTTTATCCTACGGTGTCAATGCCATTTGTACCGATGGACTTGAACCACTGCAAGCAGGTGAGCCGTTATTATTATTATTATTATTATTGGTAGCAGCGGCTGCAGCTGCTCGTCTTCCCATCTAAACGAAAGAAAAGCAGTTTTCTGAGATGATGGTAATGTGCGCGAAAAAATTTGAGCAGAATCTAATTATACATTAAAATGCGATCAAGTATTACTCAAAATATTTTTATTTTAAGCATGAGTAGTGCGAATGAATTTGATTACTTTCTTCTGTGGCATACGTACGTTTCGGAGACGTGTTTGTGCATTTTGTGTTTGTTTTGTCGGATTAGGACTACTAAGAATTTGTTGAAGAACTATGAAGAAAAAAAGGTCGTTGTTTTAAATGGATCAATCGTTAGAATTGCCTTATTAAAATATACAGTATGTAGACAAAGATACATACTTTCATCTGCGGGTTGCTGCGTTTGAGTAGAAGTCGGAGCAGTTTGTGTTATATTTGTTTGCATTGGCGATGGTTCTGTCTGTTCTGAATGTGGCTGACCATTTTGTTGTAATTGAACAGATGAGTTAGATGGTTGTTGATGTTGGTTGGAAGAAAGAATATTCATACGATTTTGTTGTTGTACAGTTTGCACTTGCTGTTGTGGTGTTAACAGAGTATTTGATGATAGAGATAATTGTTGAGAAGGTTGACTTTGATAATTCATTGCTTGTTGCTGTAACTGAGAGTTTTGAGGCGAAAATTGTTGTTGTTGAATGATTTGGTTTTGTTGTGAATGAATACTTGTTTGTTGTTGCGAAGTCATGGCTGTTGACATTTCTTGACGAATTTGAGGAAACTGCTAAGACATAGAAAACTGGCTTTATTTCCGTTAAATAACGCGGCTAAGCAAGGGACAAGGCAAGAAAAATTAAGAAGTACCTTAGGAAGAAGTGATTTATCAAACTTTACCTGCTGTATGTTTGTTCTTTGCTGTGGATATTGCTGTTGCGAAGTTTGTATTGATGAGGGCGACTGTTGAATATTTTGAGGTTGGATGTGTTGTCTGACATGTTGTCCTTGTTGCATTGGCGTTAACAACTGACTATTCATCACTGGCATATTGGAATTATTCATATATTCTTGCTTAAATTCTTGTTTGATGTGAACTCCACCAACACTACTTCGCTGATCACCATGGGGCATTATTTGTTGTTGTGATTGTTTGTTTGTCGTTATTTGTTTGGATTGCTGCTAAAACATTCAGATATAGCTTAAGAAAAAGTTGAATAAAAGATAATTTAAGAAATGAATAATTACAGGCTGTTGATTGAAAACTGTGGGCTCTTGTTTGATGATCGATAAAGGTGCTTGAATTTGTTGAACATAAGTAGTCGGTGGCATTGATTGTTGTTGAATAAGCTGGGACGGGGATTGTTGATACATCATCTGTTGTTGATTGATCTGTTGTTGATTGATCTGTTGTTGATTGATCTGCTGTTGATTGATCTGCTGTTGACTGATCTGCTGTTGACTGATCTGCTGCTGACTGATCTGCTGTTGATTCATCATTCCGGATGGGGAGGATGTATTCTGTCTATTGATATCATTTTGAGTATTTGCTAAACTTTGTTGTTGCTGTTGTTGTCTTTGAGTTTGGAGATTTCCCCACACTTGTGACATAATTTTTCTATATGCAGCCTTTAAAAAAGAGAACAATCAAATATGAATTTCTATTAGGAAATTTATTGTGAATTTGTTTTTCTTACTCTATTTCCTTTTGACTTTTGATATGCCGCATCATCATACCGTACGGACATTTCTTGACCCACTTTCTGTGCGCTGATAATATAAATCAAAGAAAACAAAGTAAAAGATGTCTAAAAAAATTCATATATCAGCTTACAATCGAATTATTAATTGTTCACGTTCCATAGATGTGATTAATTGTTGGTCGTCCATTTCATTCATTTTTTCTCTCTATCTACAACAGTTCATAAAGAAATACTCCTCAAACAACAGTTCGATAAGGCGCACATTTAAACAATTTAGATAAACATGTTGGGTCTTTCTTCCAAATTATTGACGAAATAGAAGTACAAGCAATCATGAATAATCAGTACTCCTATCGTTCGTTAGTGAGACTATTGATGCTAGTATTCTAACGATTACTGAGACGTATTTCGAACGTCTAACTAAAACTTGACCAACATTAGACGTTTATATTTCCGCAAGGATGCCAGAATAGATGTCAATTAAATGCCACATATCTAGCAAGAAACCTATTTTATTTGTAAGTTAGTGTGGAGTATTAAAAAAATTAAAAGAGTATTTCCGTTTGTTTTCTTTTTTTTTGTATTAAAAAAGACTTCATTTATCTATTTTTAAAAACATAAATAAACATGATAAAAACCAAAAAAATAATAAAAAGAGCGCCCAGAGACACTATCAAATTTAAAAATACGAAATATATAAACATAAAACTTTTACACCGGTTTAATAAAAAAGAAAAGAAAGTCCAACCATTCTTATTTGACAATAGCAGAGAATTAAAGAATAACTGAAAATGCATAAGCACCTTTAATTGCTTCCTCGAAGCAATAGCACTGTCTCTTACTGCATACACAAAAAATTACATGCAATAGATTTATTGGAACATCATTACATTAAAAATAAAAACAAAACAGTTAATTGATATGAAATATGTCAGTGAGAAAGAAAGAACGATACTGATTTCTAGATGAAAGAACAAAGAATTGAGCAATGTCTCTATGGAAAGTAATACTATATACTAATTCTTTCGTTTAGGTTCCGAACTAAAACAAAAAAATGACAATCTAGTTGATAAAGAAGAATTAAATACTTTATCAACTAAACCAAAAACATCACACCGACAAAAAACAAAAAAAATTCTATTGGTGTTTTACTTAAATTAATTTAAGGAAAACACTTCGTTGTTTCAAATGAAGTTCAGAATATTTATCAAAAACGTCGTACATCCATAAGTAAGCGTGACACAAACTACTCGACTTCATCATTCGATAATGATAACCATTGACTTACTTTTTGTCTATCCTGTGTTTTGTATTCGTTTTTTCCAAGACCATAGTTGATGTTTATTCATTTGATCACATTCAGCCATCAATACATCTTTATTATTTTCTGACAGTTCGATACAATAACCCGATGAATGACGAAGCATTTCGTTCTGCAAAAGAAAAAATATGATGACTACCGATGCAGTAAATAGCATTCGGTTTTTTAATAACCTACCTCATAAATCCACATTTGATTTCCTTGCGTATGATGACATGATAATGAATTAATCTTATTTGGTTGATTTAATTCTCCTTTACCGCCACCATAATCAAGACATTTTTCTTCACGACGTATCTCATTTGTTTTACTCATTAGAAAATACTGATTACCACCTTGACCTACGAATAATGAGAAAATATTGTTTCATGCAGTTGATGACTAGAAGCGACATGAGTGAGCATGTCAGAGCCTTGTCAGTCGTATAAAAGATATCTGATTATTGAAACTGACAATTGTCATCATCCCATATTGATGACATTAGACGCAAGGTGTGGTATTCTTCCTTCTAAGAGAATTTTAATCTTCTGCATAAGAAAAATCTGAAGCTAACGGGTGGGCCATAAAGAATTACACTATTTTGTTTTCACTATAACTCAGTCAGTTTTGACGCTATCGGCCAAATTTTTTTTAAAAAGATTCGCCATTCAATACGCTACAAAATCATACCTAAACTATAATTTCAGAATTTCAATCAAGAAGACTAATCCAATTAGATGAAAGCCGAAAAGAATGTAAACTTTCAAAACTCAAAAATTATTTTGATTTGAACTTTTTCTTCTGCTAAACTATTTTCTCTAAAAAGTGTAGCAAAAGAAGCACCCGACCGAAAAAGCTTTTATTTTGATGGAGTTATGGGTGGGGCTTTTACTGAAAGCACTACTATACCCGAAATTTAAAAAATTAATGAAAAAATGCATGACAACCGACAGAAAAACTATTATTTCGTTGTGGCTTTTGATGTGAAAAAATCTGAAACGTACCTAAAAGATAGAGCAAAGTCAGGGTTATAAAATGGCTAATTCAGTTTTTCTTACTTTCAAAACGTTAACACAAGAAATAAATTTTGAGTTTTGAAAGTTTACATTTTTTTCGACTTCCATCTAATTAGCTTAGTTTTCTTTATTGAAGTTCTGAAATTATAGTTTAGGTATGATTTTGTAGAGTATTGAATGACGAATCTTTTTAAAAAGAATTTGGCCGATAGCGTCAAAACTGACTGAGTTATAGCGAAAATAAAATAGTGTAATTCTTTATGGTTCACTCGCTATATGCAAAGATTACTAAAATACTCCTGTTAGGCTTACTTTTGATCTTACCATGACATGGGTAACCAATGACGGGTTTATCATCATCTTCGATTTCTTGTGAATCCAGACATACTCCAGTGCTACCACGATTACGAACCTAAACAAAAATATAAAATAAGAAATCGAATTATATAAATGATGAATAAGTCATCATTTACTTCTCCAAAAAATAATGATTCATCAGGAACAAACTGTTCAGGATAAACGTTATCCAAATACCATTTAAATGGTTTACATTGAAGACGTTCCCGAATTTTTATACGATCGGATACATCACCATAGTCGCCCTGAAGATATAAAAATACAAAATATCTATTGAAAATATTCTAATGAATAAAATACATACCAAATTGTTATTTATTCTTTCATAATAATATTTTTTATAATCGTCTAACCATACTTCAGCTAAACGAACAGTATTCTTTTGAACAACATTAACGTCTTTGGGCCATTCATACGGTGAACGTTTTCGAAAAATATGACCAACGTGAGAGCAAGGAGCACAAAGTAACTCTCCACCGCAAGTCCAAACCTAGAAGAAAAAAAATGCTTTTTCGTTTCAATCTATACGCTCATCAAAATCGAGATTTTTTAAGAAACTAAATTTGAAAAAATCTAGTTGTAAAGTATCATATTACGTTTGATCCTTGAGTACTTTTTATCTCTATAAGCACAATTATTCAAAACACTCAGTTACATTGCAGAACGATTGTTCTGAAGGGGAGTTACTCAATTCAGGTGACATGGTACGAGAAAAATAAAAATACAGTTATTCATCTGAACAAAGATAAGTTACACATCTCCGTTTCTTACTGTCATCACTTAGCTCAATATAAAACTAAGATTAGATGAGTTTATCAAAAAATGTTATAAAAAAACTGAGTTTTTTGAGTGTTACTCAGATGAGTAAATATGTTGATAGTGGTTGACAAATTTTAGTGAGTAACTAAAATTTTTTCAAACTTTTCTTCTCTCTTCTCTAAACGAAATAACTGAAGTGTACGTATATAGGCAGTTATTTATCGAAGTGCTTTTCCCTCTTTCTAACTTACTTTAAAACTTAATTCCATATTTTCCCCACCCCAAATATCCATTCCAGGATCGTACATCCCTAACTGCTCGAACCAGTCACGATCAATTGCAAACAATCCTCCTGCCATAGTAGGACTTCTAAAACAAAACAAAACAATACCAATATTAGAGAACGTATATAAAACTATTTTCTATAATAAATACCTGATAGGATCAGTTTTTTTTGTTCTTCTTTTCATTTCTCGATCAGGTGTTACATGCCAATTAAAAATTAAATTCCAATCAAATCCACCGACTTGAATATTTTGTATCGGTGTACTAATTAAATGAAATGTATTATCGTCAATTATTTCTATAAGTGGTACAACAGCAACTTTAGGATTTCGTGCTATTGGATCTAATAATGGTTCGAGCCATCCTAAAGAAAAAATTCAATAATTATTATTTGATGATTAATAGGTTGGAAGAGAAATACCTTCAGTACATTCACAATGAGAATCGAGAAATATTAAGACTTTTCCTTCTGCTGCTAATGCACCTTTCAATCTTGCACGTATCAAACCTTCACGTTTTGACGTATGCAACAGACGCACGTTTTTCAACTGTTTAATATCATCTTTTAATTCTTGCTTCAAATATTCTAAAATGAGAAATAGACACATGTTAAAAAAGATTAGCCTCTAGGATTTAGTTCAAAAAATAGTTCTCAACTCTGAATTATTGAAGAAAATTGTATAACATAGCCTAGAATTTACGTGAAAAATATGTTTTCACCTACTACAGACCTGTATTGGAATGATCATCAACAAGTATAATTTCATGTAGTAAACTAGCTGGTGATCGATCTAATACAGAGTAGATGGTACGTAATAGTGTTGATCGTGCTTCATTATGAAAAATAATTATAACTGATGCATTTGGTAAATTTGGGTGTAAATTCATTGCTTTACATCTAAAATAGAAAACAAAAAAAGTAGATTGTAAACCACTCACATTGGATAAATAATGATAATAAAAACTGAAAGAAAACAAAGCTGTTTCCTGTGCTCTTGAAAGTGGAGACTTACTCAGGATCTCTGATATCTGCTAAATTTCGTCTCAATGATATCATATCACTAACATATTGATTAAATGCATTATCTTTCCATCCCAAATCAAATTTTGCTCTTTCTTCACGTGATAATTTATCTTTATCGATATTTACCGGATTACCCATTTCTCCGGGCGAATCTCTTGGATTTCCTTTGTTATTTGGTGCCACTAACTGTACTTTACCTTTCATGGCTTTTACTTGATCATGCGCTTTCTTACGTTCTTCTTGTGGATGATCATCATCTGAATGTTTTTTTTTTGCTATCTTTTCATTTTTAAATTCTTCGAACACTTCTTCGTTATTATCCGATGGTTTCAGATTCACTAATTTTTCAATAAATGGTTTTTTATGGTTGTTTATTTTTATTGGCAATTTATCTTGACCTTCGTTCACATCTGGTTGTACTTGTACACCATTTCTTGTACTAAATAGAACAACGACTGCTAACCATACGGCTGGAATTAGAAATAAATATTTTAATAGTCCATGACGCCTCACTACCATAATGTTGATGTGTATCAGGAAATGTTATCAGAAATGAATAAATAGAATAACCAACAACCATCCAAACGATATGTTATTACACAGTCACATAAAATGAGCATTAGCTAAAATAAAAGATAACTTTATAGTCATAGGCTAGAGAACAGACGTAGGTGCAGAAAATGAACTAAATTGACTTGATGCTTTAAGAGAAACAGATACGCATACAGAAGTATGAAATAAGTTATATTTTAACTTCTGCAAATATTTGCCTTCTTATTTATCGGTTTATAGTTGTATTGATGACTACATAGACATACAGTTTGTATTTAATTACCATACAAATAATACAAGCGAATTTGATAAATTTTCAGTGATGTTTGATTACTTCTTTAACTGATTGACTTTTTTGTTTTATTTATTTCGTTATTTTTTCTATTTAATATTAAATCACATAGTCTAGCACCATTCGTTAGCTCTAAAAATGATGCTAGATTAACCTTTAGTGAACTTACCTAGTCTCAAGGAGGAACATTTTTCCAAAATAGAATAACGCTGTCTATGTACATCCTCTGGTTCCGTATGTTTTTCATTTTCCTTCTTATCTAAGAAAAATATTCATCAGAGTTAGAAAAACTGAAAATAGAATTTTATTATTCTTTAAATGCTCTTTAGAACTTTTTTAAAAGTTCTGTGTAAAATGGAATGCTGAACGCTCAAGTTTTATGGGACAGGCATATAGATGAGAAAAGAACTAGTACACTAGTACAGGATAATCTAGAATATGATCTAATATGCTAAATTGTCTTGACAGCCATATCGTCAGACAAATCAGTACATTTCTCATGATGCGATACCACTGCATAGCTGAATTTGTTCGAAATTTTGAAAAGAAGCTCTTTCAACCCGAATAAAATTGAAAATGTAAACTTCGCTACAATTGAGTCGATTCGAACAGTATTTAAATTAAATAATAAATACTAAGTAACTGCTGTTTCTAAACGATAATAATGATTAGATACATTGCAATGGTGAACCTTGGAAAAGTCATGCGAAATCAAATTGACTTTCCATTATGACTTTGTAAATATAGGTTGCATTATGGGTTGCATGTTACTTCTCTTCTCATTGCCAAATTACAGTTACCAGATCTTGTTACAAGAAGAAAATTTTTCAGGCTGACCTTATTTCACAAAATCATTACAGGACGAAGTGCGCTTTCACGTTTTTCCTTAGTAAGTCCACTTACTACTCGAACATCTCTGCGAACATCTAATCGATGTCTTTGGCAAGTGCCTACATATAAACGTAAAACTACTAGCTCATCGTTCTTACCAAGAACGATAAAGGAATGGAATAAGTTACCGAGGGAGGTCATGGCCGCATTTAACGACCGAGCTTTTAGGCGTGCATTGACGAAACATCTTTTTTCTTGAAGAAGTGTCTCGTTTCTTTAATTAAGCCATATATGTTTTATTGTTATATTTTTCTTTTTTGTTTTTTTATGTTATATTTTTCTCTTTGTTCGGTATGATCTAGACAAAGGTTCTTTTAAACTTTCATCATCACCAAGTCAGTTTTAAGATCAAGGACTAAAATAAAATTACTTACTAGAAATTACTTACTACTTCTTAAATTATGTACAATTAGTTTGTTGTTGCAGATATTCTGGGGCAAGGCCATGTACAGTTTTAGAGTAGAAAACGATCTGAGTGATATGAAAGTGTTCTTTAATGGATAGCCAACCTAACATAGTCCTAAGTTTCTCTTCCGAGCTACCTTTCATCGCATCCAAAACCACGAGAGAAGCATGGTACTGTACAGCCTCCAATTTATCTAGATTCTGCTGAGTAGTAAAAGAGAATAAAATAGATCCATAGTTAAAAAGTGAAAGTACAAAAGCCTTATAAATAAGGTCTAAAACCGCCTTATTCAAAAGTCTAGGGTGCCATATCATCAGCCCAACAAGTGCTTCTCCTCTTGAGGCAATATTATCAATATGTCTGTCCCATTTCAAGTCATATGAAAGATAAAGCCCCAAATATTTAACAAAATCTTTTTCAGATAAAACTACCCCCAAGGGTGATAAAACAGGAAGGGTAAAAGTGATGCTCCTTGATTGTCTGGTAGAAAAGCTTATTGCTTCGCACTTGATAGGATTCAAAGAGATTTTCCACTTCTTAGCCTATTCTACAACACGGATAAGATCTCGAGCCAGCCTTTGAGAGGCAAGAACAAGATCACTATCGTGCGAAAAAAGAAGAGTGTCATCAGCAAATAATCGAATTGCACTTTCAATTCCTTTCGGCAAATCATCAATGTAGATGAGAAATAATAATCTACACTGTAATGTCGGGAATTATTTATAGAAAATGCTCGGCGATTTTCAAAAAGTCCATATATAAATTCCCTGAGGATTTTCTAGATTCTAGAAAATCGAATTTACAAGAAACTTGGAAATTCGA